ACCCCAGGTGGTCTAATCCACTCAGGCACACTCCTGCCTGCTGTCATGTGCATCAGGGAATAAAAACCCTAAGATTCATGCTAGAAATGGGGAGTTACTTCTCCAGCCATGGAGTGATGAGAACCTTCCCCCTTGGTCAGGATGCCAGCCAAGGTAACTTACGTGGGAGCCCTTAGCTGGAGGGACAGGATGAACTTGGAACCGTACCAATGAACTGGAAGGACTGACGAATTTGCTCACTCTCCATCCCCACCACTCGGGTCACCTTGTGGGTAAAATTATTTACCTCAGCTAACACTGAGTGATACATTTCCTTCTTAGGTTCATATTCCCTGAGTGTATTTTATATTTCTCCTCAAGTTCATTTCTAGGTTTCCCTGAGTGTATTCTTGGTTTCGCTCCACTGTATTTCCGTTCAAACGGGCTTGTTTATTTGCGAATGCCAGGCTTACTGTGGGCAAGTTGTTGTTTTGTTGTTGTTAGTGTTTGTGCTTCATAGTGCGTTGTTGTTGGTATTATATTAGTTATAGAACCTTTAGTGTACCTGTAGCTTTTCAATTTATCACCGGCAATCCAAAAGAACCTGTAAATGTTGCTGTAAATAAACGATTACTATTTGTTACCTGACTTGCATCTGTCACATATTCGGTGCCGGCCTCACAAGACCGGATTTATTTCCCTGTTTTTTGCAACAGGGTGCACTTGATCCCACTATGTCATTGATTAAGATGTTAAACAGTGGTCCTGGTACAGACCCCTGAGGGACACCACTTGTCACCCATCTCCATCTGGACATCGAGCCATTGACCACTACCCTCTGGATGTGACCATCCAACCAATTCCTCTTCCACTGAACAGTTCATCCATCAAATCCATATCTTTCCAACTTAGAGAGAAGGGTGTTGCAGAGGATTGTGTCAAAGGCCTTGCAGAAATCCAGATAGATGAAATTCATAGCTCTTCCCTTGTCCACTGATGAAGTCACTCCATCATGGAAGGCCACTAGGTTGGTCAGGCACTTGGTGAAGCCATGCTGGCTGTCTCGAAGTACCTCCCTGTCCTCCATGTGCCTTAGCAGAGCTTCTAGGAGGATCTGTTCCATGATAACAGACACAGAGGTGGGGGTGACAGTAGATAACATTATGTATTTCTTCTTCTGAATATGTCCTTCTGTTTGTTTTTCTTACTGATTATTTTTAATAGCTAGAATTACCATTGTGAAATTTCTTATTTATTTTCAACAATATGTAGTATATAATTTGTCACCTTTATAATAATCAGAAAGGTTTCAGCTCCTCAAGTATGTGTTGTCTAGCGTAGTATGGCTAGAATCTCTTGTGATAGTTTATTTTCACCTGTGTTTAGTTACTGATTTTGACTTTGAAAGTCACCTTTCTCTGGAAAGAGGAATTTTTGTGTTCTGCTGGCTCCCAATTTAAAACAGGGAAGATACGCATGTGAAGAATGCATTTTATTCATGTATTCAGAATGTGGAACTTTGTACAAACTGGATGACGTGATGTGTTTTATCATCTTTCCAGATGGTTGAGATGATGAAATAATTCAATCAAAGTTATTATATTTTATAAAAAGTAGAAACTCTTTAATAAATAGGAGTTGAACTATTTTTTTGAAAAAGTCCTCTATTTTTACCAGAGCAATATCGAAATTGCTATAATGTATGTGTATATGAATTTGTATGTACAGCTGGTATTTGCAATATGCATATATTGCAATAGAGCTGTTTATAGTATCTCTAAATCCTGTAATTATACTGATTATACTGCAGTAATTTCCAGTTGTTTGGTTATTCTTGCACATACTGTGAGTTATTTTTTGCTTAAAGTTCATTAATTACTTTGTATAACTGGATAGACTTACTTTCAAAAGGGCTCATAAAAGGTGTGTACAGAGCTTGTGCATAATACATTATACTGGGAGAAGTCCGGGAACCTTTATTTCTGTGCTCACTATCCTTTTGTCTATTCATAATGGGCCTGGCTTTGGCTAATTGGCTTTTAATTGTCTTTAGTGGCATATCGAAGAGATGAAATGTGGTCTGAGGACCGATACGACTATGAAAGAGTTCCCAGAGAGCGTCTGCCTCCCAGGATTCATCCTGATGTAAGTATGTTTCTTTAGCATTGTACTGTTACACTGTACCTTGATGCCCTGGCTTGGATCAAAAGGGCTGGATTTATGTACTTATTTAAGTTCCTAGTGTACCCTGAGTTCTGTTCTTTTCTCATTTGTTTAAGCTAACAATCTAGAAAATGCATCTGCTCAGAGACAGAGATGATGTCTACAAATGTAGATAATGTCTTGGGTTGTTTGGTTTTTTTGGTTTGTTTTTTTGATTATTATTTTTTCAAATCTATTGAAAGTGGCTTAGAATATTTGTATTTTGATAAATTGATTTTTCTGCAGTGTAATTCTTTGTGTTATTAAACACAGGAGTTTTGAAATAATTTCTGGAGAACCAAAAGTCATACTATTGTATTTTTCCATAGAAGGTGTGAGTTGTTTTTATTTAATACATCTTTGAAGTGATTTGAGGTGCAATTGACTACTTTTCTAGCCACTGATGCAGTTTTTTGTTATGATGCTTAAAGTATAGAAGGAAATGTTTATAACAAATGTTGAAAATACATCTTTATTGAAGAAATTGTGTTTGGAGCCTTGTAAGGGAAGTGCTTAT